TGGTAGATCAGTACAACAAATAAAAGAGAGCTGGGCATGGTGGTGATCTTAAAAAATTACATTTTTTAAGATCAACTTTACTGAGATAATACATATACAATTAAAAGCCCCCAGGTTTCAGTGTACAGTTCAATGAGGTTTAACAAATATGTACACCTCAATCGAGATATAAAACATATGAATGCACAATTTGGTTTATCCATTCATATTTTTGTTTTGTTTTGGTTTGGTTTGATTTGGCTTGTTTGGTTTGGTTTTGGGTTTTTTTCAGACAGAGTCTCACTGTGAGGTTCAGGCTGTCTTTGAACTCACCGCAATCCTCCTGCCTCAGCCTCTCCATTCCTCTGCTCACAAACTTCTGAGAGTTGTTGTTGCTCAGCTGTCCAGGCTTGTCCTCAAACTTCTTATCCTCCTGCCTCAGCTTCCCGAGTAGCTGGGATTACAGGCCTATAGCACTGCACGTGGTTTTTTTCCTTTTCTTTTTCTTTTCCTGGCTTTTTTCTTATGGAATACTTGTCCTTATAAAGATGCAGAAACTTGTATCAGGTGGAAAATGACTACTTCACATAACTGTTGAGTAAATCTAACAAACATACAAAAATTAAGCAGCAAAGGCGTATGACTCGGACAAAGTCCAGTCTGAATGAATGAAGAATATAAAATATTTTAAAAGGAATTGAATTAAGTTCAAGTTCCCTCAATAAATAGACCCAGACAAATAAACTATGGCCTTGTAGGAAGCAGACGTGCTGTATGGGACAAAGCACTGGACTTGAAAGTTAGAACTGGATCCTAAATCTGAGTCTAATTCGCCTTGTGACCTTCAATAAATCGCTTAACTGTTTTGGGTCTCCGTTTTTTCACCCATAAAATACAGGCCTTGGGGCTTCTCAAATCCCAAAGTGCACTCAAATCACCCGAAGATTTTCACAGCACAGGCTCTGATTCAGTAGGTCTGGAATGAGGCCCCGTGCTCTGCGTGTGTCTTCACCGAGCTTCTGTGAGGACCATGTTTTGAGGAGCAGGGGTTACACGGCCCCCAGGTCCCTTTCCCTAACATTCTCACACTTCATCCTTCAACTTCCTGTTTCAACGACACATGAGGAATAACTTAACCAGGACAACTGTTCTCCTAATTTCTATTCATTCATTGGAAGGAACAGTTAGTGCTTATATGGTCTGATCACTCTTGCATGCCTGTATCTGGTCATCTAGCAACTACTTTGAAGATAACAATATGCAATATAACAACCATTGTCAATTTTCTATTATCTTGTTTTGAAATTGTGTATCATTTTTACTGGTTTTTTTTTTTTTCTCTCTCTTTAAAAGAAAAAAAAAGAATAACTTAAACCTGGCATGGTGGTGCTTGTATGTACATACTCCCAGCACCCTGAGAGGCCGAGGCATAAGGGTGGAAGTTTGAACTCAGCTTGGCAACTTAGCAAGACTTTGTCTCAAAACTTTTAAAAATCAAAGTAAGTTTAAAAATGGTTGGGGCTATAGCTCAATCCAAAGGCCCTGGGTTCAATCCCCTGGACTGGGAAAGAAAAATAATAATTTAGTCAGAACCCTAACAACTGTACCTAGAATACAGTAAAATTAGAGTCCATAAATGTCTCTCCTGAAACCCAGCTAAAAAGACAAGGCAACCAAAATCTTCCCAAAGCCACCTAGGGCAGAGAAAGTGGATCGGGTGGGGCCTTCACTGAAGCTTATTATTTAGAGTTATTTAGCTTATTATTTAGAAGAGCCTAGTTTGCAAATTCATAGAGCAGCCCTCTGAGTTCTAATGCTTCACGGAAACCAATGGCCTCCTTGACACAAAACCTGATCCTAAAGAAAGAAGCAAGTACAACCCATCCACAGCCAGACGTGGGGACAGCTTCTGATCACACATCACAGCCCCTCATGCAGCAGCCTCTAGCTCAGTTAAGAATCTACCTTGAGGTAAAATGACCGACTCATCCCAGGAAACCCCCAATTCAGGGCAAGCCGCGACAGCTGGTCACCCTTCCAGAAGAGCTTGTCATAGCACAATTCAAAGAGCCCCTGATCCGGTTGCTATGGGCGCGGCCTGAGGCTCTGTACATCTAAGAAGTGCCCAGCGGGAGCACACCATGCGCACCCCTGCAAGTTCAACTCATCCTCAAGGACTCAGGCCGGAATCCTGGGAGGAAGAGAAGGCAAGATTGAGCCTCCTGACCAGAAGCAGAGCTAAAGGACCAAGGTGGCCCGGAGAGTAACTGGAGGGAAGGGAATTCTCCATGAGGACCACAGGGTCCCGTGCCTGCGCCGGGGGGAGCGTGTCAGGGAGTAGCTTCACATCCGGGTCAAGGATGACTTTAGCTCTGCTGTCAGCAGACTCGGTGCCCAGGAGCAGAGAGGCAGCTGACACACAGTAACTGAGGAACTACTCCAGAGGTGACACCGCAGGGAGAGCCAGAGACTCCAAAATCTATGTGGAGGAAAAGCCCAATATACTCGGACACTACTGCTGTACCCTCCAGCTAGGGCTGCCACCCCAGGTGCCCAACTGAGCCAGCCAAGACAAAGCCACATCCAACAGTGAAAGGGTGAGACAGGTTTTGGTGTTTGGAGCAGGGTGGAAGTCTTCTCTCTTCCTCCTTGGGTATGTGATCTCAGGCGGGTTAAACTGCCAGCGCTCCAGTTTTAATCCATGGGGTGGAGATCATGTTGTCAGAAATAGAAATGGCAGCCAGGTGTAGTAGCACATGCCTGTAATCCCAGCGCTCTGGCAGGCTGAGGCAGGAGCATCGCCAGTTCAAGCGCAGCCAGGACAACTTGGTGAGATGCTGTCTCAAAATATAATTTAAAAAACTGGCTGGAGGTGCAGCTCAGTGTGAAGGCCCTGGGTTCGGTACTCAGGACTACAAGAAAGAAAAGAAAAGTAGAATGCTGGATGAATGCTAAAGCACTAAGCAAATGTGAGGTAATTTACATGAATGTTTATATCTATTTCCATAGATTTTGCTACGGTCGTCAGAAACAGTCATGCAAGACAGGGTCTGGTAGTTGGCACAGCGACTGGGAGAATTTGGGCTATAATCCCAGCACTGCCGCTAGCTGTGTAATCCTCCACATTCTCTGTGCCTTCATTTCCTATAAATCTGTAAAAAGGGTATAATATCAAACCTACTTCCCCTGGTTTCTATGAGGGCTGGAGAATAAAGGAAGGAGCGCGTGCAAAGCAATCAGAGTGTGTTGCACCCTGTGGCCATAACCACAGCTCTTTGTTGAGAAGGTGCTAACAGTGCTGGCCATCCAGCCAACTCCCGGGACAGCAACAGGACATGGTGAAACGCCTGACACGGAAATCCAAGGCAGTATCTCCGTGTGGACAGACGCCCATCTGCTCACGGGCAGAGAGTCTAGGACCCACAGGACCTGAGTTTACATAATCAATCCCTGCCTTCCTCGCATCCTCCCAGCCTTCCGGGGAATACCTGACTCAGCGGGGCAAGTTCAGCTGCATCCCTTCCAGCCCTGTTCACTTCCCTCCTCTCCCCACAGCACCCAAGAAAACCCGAAACTCAGGGCGCGTTGGGGGCTGCCAGCCCCACAAACAACCTTCACTCTTCTTCAGTAGGAGCAACTACTTCCAACGCGCTTCTGCCGGAAGAGCTGCCGGACTTCCAGAGCGGGAGGAGCAGATGCCGTCCACCCTCACGGGAACGACTGCCTTTAAAACCACGAGGCAGCACTTGAACCTAAATCTGCTCTCACCTAATCCCCAGCCATCCACAAGGGGGTCACACTAACCCACTGCACAACCTGCCTGCGTTTTGGTCCCTCAAACTGATGGAGGTATCTGGAGACAGATTAAGTAATCTCCAGGAAAAGCCAAAGGGCCCAAAACTCAAGAAGAAAAAGCCTTCCCAATACCGGGCAGCATTCCGTTGCTCTTAAGATACTGAATCAGAGTCTGGAAATGGAAGGACCCAAGAGACTTCATATTCTCTCCGGTCCAAAATCACAGAGACAGAGACAGAGACAGAGACAGAGAGACAGAGAAGCACAGTCTCTAATCAGCCCTGGCCATGCCCTGCAAGGCCTTCTAACCATCGTCCATTCCCCCCAGCCCCGCCAGACCCAGGGCTGATGCTGCCCGCTCGGAACTCTAACTTCTGCTTGTGCACAGCGGCTTCCAGGACACCAGCTTCCTTTCACCCTTTTCCAGTCACCGCACTGCTTGACCAAGATCAACCTGCCGTGGGCCCCACGCCTGGCCTCCAGACCAGAAACCAGCCCACTCAGGGCACCCAGCCTCAGGGCTAAGTGTTGAGCTAAACAGCCATTAATTTAGGCCCCACCCTAGGCTGCTGCAGGGCTGTCACCCACTTCACACCCACCCGTTCTTCTCAAATGCTGCCTCACTGCTGACCGATTTTGTGCACTCGGGCTGTGCGCCCCTTTTTAATCCCTGCAGCTCATTCCCCGCTCTCTCCACAGGATGTGTCCAGGGCCAAGTCCCCGCGGGCGGAAGACAGGCTGAAGGAGATCTTCGCGGATTCTAACCTTGCTCCCTGACTTTAAGCAACTCCAGAACCATCCACTCTCCCCTTTTCTCCTTTCTCCTCTCCTCACCCTGAAGGGATCAGCTGCTGGGATTCAGGAAGATGGAGTGAAGGCCAAGCCTTCCAAGCTCGAGATGAGGGAAGTCAGGTGTGCTTACACAGCGGGGACAATTCCCCAACTCCCTCTACCTCTGAACCTCACGTTCTCTGCCTGTCCTGCCGGAACCCTAATCAGGCCTGAGCCGACAAGTCCCACAGCCTCTCCCAGCTCAGCAAAGCCAGAGAAAGTGTAGAAACTGGACCGACTGGTTCTGCCCCTCCTCACCCGGTCCTAACCTCTGGATCCCCCTGGGGCCTGGCACCCCACCCACCAACACCCTCCCGCTGTACCAGTTACACCTCAAACACTCTCCTCACACTCAGCGGACTCGTACCCCCACACACACCCCTTGCCAAGAAAACATCTTCCATACCAATTAAGTGTAACTCGTTACCACCAGGGAGGGACTGAATGTACAAACGGTCGTTGGCCAAGCCATATATAAAAATAGAACTCTGACCCACAATCTGCAGCCCTTAGACCAGGAACGTGAACCACAACCTCTGAAGCAATCAGCCCAAAATGGTCAGGACTTAATGGTCAGCTTCCCTGATTTTTCCCCTCACTTTCAACTTGGGATCAAGCGGAGAAAGCAACATAAACTCCCCTCAAAGACACAGGACACATGTGGACCAGAACTTCTGCTGTCTGGACACACCCAAAGCCCTCTTTTGAATATTCTAGAAAGGCTTCCCACCCCTGCCTGCCTTTGAGTCTCTGACAGAGCCAGTGGTGGTGACTGACTCTCTTGCTAAGACCAGCTCTGAATAAATACCTTTCCCTTGTTATCCTTTGGGTGATCTTTGTTTATTTCCACACCACATTCCTAATTCAAGCAACAACTCCTCCCCATAAGGAGCACTAACAAACAGGAGGGGGCCAGGGATATAGCCCCCACCGCTTAGGATTTCAGCATCCTAAATTTGATTCCTAGTGCTAAAAAAAACAAACAACAAAAAAAAAAAACAGGAGGCTGAGGCAGGAGGATGTTGAGTTTAAGGTCAACCTGTGCCACCTAGAGCATTCAAGGCCAACCTGGACTATGTAGCAAGACCCTGTCTTAAAAATCAAACTAATTTTAAAATAAATAAAAATAAATAACAACCTTGAAATACAGTGTCAGTGTACAATAGAGGTGCCAGCAGTGTCAGTGGTGCTACAGAGAGAAGTGCAGCGCTCTAATGGGCTTCCCAGAAGCGAGAGCAACAGGCCAGTTTTGAAATATGAACACTCACAAAGCAGATGGCTGGGGAGGAAGCAAACAGTGGCTCCTCTTTCATATCTTTTCTAGAGATCAACGTCTCCTATTTATAGCGCAACTTTATGTAGGTTCCATGAGGTATCTCACTGATTTCTGTATTTTAATTTCTGTCTCTCTACTTAATAGTACCTTTTAATCTAAAACGTACTTATGCCTTTACTCCCCCCCAAAACTCTTGCACTGATCTGGCCGACCCAAATGAACGGTACCTCCCCTCCCTCTTGCTTCTAACTTCTTTGAACAGTACTCTGGCTAAATTTGGTAGTGCACACCTGTAATCCCAGTCCTCTGGGAGGCTGAGGCAGGAGGATCACAAGTTCAAGCCCAGCCTGGGCAATTTTGCAACTCAGCAAGACCCTGTCTTAAAATTTAAAAATGGCTGGGGGTAGCTCGGTGCTGAGGTCCCTAGATTCAATCCCCAGTAGAATCAATCAATCAATCAATAAATAAGGCCAGGGATAAAGCTCAGCGGCACAGTGCCTACCTGGCAAGCGCAAGGTCCTGAGTTCAATTCCCGATTCCAATAAATAAATAGAGAGAGAGAGAGAGAGAGAGAGAGAAAGGAGTACTCTGTAGCCAAAGCTGCTACCATTCTCACTGCTTTCCTGGCTTGTACCCGTGGGCAGTCACCAGGTTTAAAAACCTCTGGCTCGTCTCTAGCTTCCTCCACACCTAACCTTCTAGCCACTTCTTTCTCCTCTCTTTGTACCTACCATCTATCTACACTTGGTCTTCTTAACCTGGTCAACGGCAAGCCTTCAAGTGACCACCAGATCCGTCACTTGCACACACCACCATCCTAACTCGTGACTGTTTTCATCTGTCCAGAAGCCATCGAGACACCTCAAACTCCAGACACACAGAACAACACATCACCTGTCTTCCCAAATCTTTCTTCTGCTCCACTGACCTGTCACCAGGTGGGTCCCTGAAGACAGGCCCTCCAGTGAGAGGAGCTGGGGAGCTCAACACAGCTGGAGCAAGCGTTGATTCTCACCACAGAAGAACATTTCAGGACACATCAGCGGGAGGCATAGGCAGATTCATTAGGTCAAGGAACAAATAAATAACAACCTTGCAATATAGTGTCAGTGTAAGAAAAATGGAAGGAGTCGAATGGGACCTGAAGAGTTGGATGGCACTCAGCTCTTTTAGAGGATCAGATTGGTCCATTAACAAAGGAACGGGTCAGTTTTTTGTTCTTTTTAAAGGGGCTGAGGGAAAAACGGGGAGCTGAAGGGGCTAGGGTCTGGTTCGTCATTACCTCAGTTCTGGCTTTACAAAGCTCGCTCTGACATACAACATTTTACAACATATCACAAGCACAATACAGACAATACAGAGTTACAAACAAAGTGGTAGGGAATTAACAATGGTGGTTATATTACATATTGATATCTTCAAAGTGGCTTCTCATGAAAACAGATATAGACATGCAATAAAATGTTGTATGTCTGTTAATGTTTCCCTCCTTTTATCCTTAAAATTAAAAAAAAAAAAAAAAAAAGCTCGCTCTGAAGAAATCCTTATCACTTAATCCCTTCTCCATGAAATGATGGTTTCTACTTAGGGACGTCTCAGTTTTGCGAAGTCTCTGTTGGAATCTGAGGTTACCTTAGGTTTAGGGAAATGACTAGAGATTTCTGGTCACTCATTGGTAGTTGAAGGTCCCATAAATGTCTTGGTGTCCTCACTCTTCAATTCACACTTAAATTCATGAACTGTATCGCCAGCTTTTACACAGACACTCCTAAATGATTAACGCGCCTACACGCAGATCTGAATGGGGGTCTGACCCAAAGTTTTAAGGGAATAAAAGAGACAGGTAGAGAATGAAGGTCAAGCTTTGTTCTATTTTAGTTACCCATTAGGCACCTGTTGGCCCAAGGGAAGAGTCACTGTTTTTAGCAAAAGCAGCTTTCAAGTCCCTGACTGCTTCAGAAGAAAACACAAGTCATGTTTTTAATGAATATCAGCTTCAGGGCCCAGGAGTTTGTGCCGTCTCAGAACCAGGGATCTAAGTCATCCGGTCCCCAAACCTTAATGCACCTTTCCTCTGCTGCTCCATTATATCAGAACATCCTCGATCAAGTCCTTGCTTCCGGGGCCTCTCCCACCTTATCTCCCACAGGCAGCCCTCTTCTCCCACTGTGAGCCTCCTCCGCAGACCTGCTACACCCGTTTTTGCAACAACTGCCTCCAAGGTCTATAAGCCTCCACCACCACCCACCCCTCGCCCACGCTGTTCACCGTCAGCAGCCCGCCCTTCCTAAAACCAGGTTCTCCAAGGTTGTAAATGATGAGGCAAGGTCTGCCCAAGGAAAGACAGCAACCAGGCACTCCCACCTTCCCTTTCAAAATTCAACGGCTGGGGTATGGCTCAATGCTAGAATGTATTCAGAGGCCCTGGGATGGATCCCCAACACGAGGGGAAAAAAAGAAGGAAATGAGCTTGGGTAGCTTCTATGTTAGCCTAACAATTCAATGGGACAACGATGGAGGTTTCCTCGGTAGCGAGACAGTCTTCACACAAAGATCTTGAAACAGGCCTCTGGTGTCTATAAGCTTTTTTGCATACCAGCATGGGAGACTAAATTAGGGAAGAAAGTAAGAAAGCCTACCAGGATGTTTCAAAAGGGCTACTCCAGAAGGCTGAGCCGTCAAGAGAAACACCCGCCAATGATAGAGGCTAAGTCTCCAGCAGAGAGAATCTGAGGACACGGGAACCCGAGCGTGGAAATTCTCTTCCACGTCTGGATCAGTGTGAAGTTTTATTAAGGAAACTGTGGACCAGGGGAGGTGGGGTCTTTTCACGTAATTTTTATTCTTCTTCCTACAAAAAACAAAAACAAAAACCTGCAAAGGCTTCCGATCGCCCAGAAATGGTGACGTCTACAAGCCTTGGCCTGCCTCTGATGAAATTATCCCCACTTCCTATCCATTTCTTCCAAACCAAACTGAGCTACAGGTCCCAACCCTCACTGCCTCCATATGCTTCCACGTGTGGAGCTCATTCATTCCTCACGCATTTGTGGAGCGCTATCTGTCCTCTGCTGTCCGCTAGGATGCCTTTCTCTCCTTTCCCCAATCCAAATATTACCAATCCTTGACAGTCCAGCTCAAGGGTCACGTCATCCACGACGTCACCCCTCAGCAGGACGTAATCTTTTCCTCTTTGGGTCACCCACACCTTCTCAGAGCACGTATGTCATTCTGCCTCCTATTCCGATATGTGGGTGAATGCCACCTCCCCTACTTTCTGAATCCTCTCTGTAAGGATTCAACTCGCACAACGTTCAACACTGTGTTTTGCAGGGGAGGAAAAAAACGACACCTGCTACTGCGACTGCCTGGAAATGGATCGCTCGCTGGTCTGTCCCCTCCAGATAATCAGCTCAGCAAGCGCCCGCGCTACACTGCTCACATTCTGCGCAAGGAAGCTATTCGACGGCCGTCTACTCAATGCATGAATGAATGCATGCATGCATGCACGTATTCTATTCCTTTCCTTGCACTTTTCTCGACATATTTAACGCCCCGTTCTTCATCGAAGAGAAGCACTGTAAGTACTGTAGGAAGAAAACTGCTTCAGGTCAAGAATGTGTCACACAGAAGCG